CGCTCAGAAACGCCCAAAGGAAAATCTACCCAGAGCAGCGTCGGGAGCGGAACGGAAGAGGGGCCGGCAGAGTGGCCCATGTCTCTGACCCTCTGGAAAGATGTCTCTTCCAGGCCTTTTGGGTCCCCACAGTACCCCAACTGAGCAGCCCCCGCCCTCCCTGGGGCATCTGACCCAAACCTGCTCCCATGAGAAGGGCCAGAAAGCAAAGATCTGACCCCGTGGGCCCGTGGGCTGATGCTCCGTGACAGTGCCCCATCTCCTCATGTCTGCTCCTGGGCTGGAGACATCCCTGTGCCACAAGATGTCACCTCATGGAACTATTCTTGTCCCAGGCTGGGCCCTGCCTCGGGCACTTCAGGAGACTGAGAGCTGAAGTTGAAGGGTGAGCAGCTCAGTGCCCAAAGGCGCTTGTGGAGGCTGACGAAGACAGAGCTGTGCAAACCCCAGGCTTCATCGACTGCAGACTTGCCGGAACAGGGGCTTCCAACTGGAAAACCCCCGTTCTTCCTTCAAGACAGCTTCCTCCTCCAAGAAGCCTCCCTGGATCTCACCATTCCTCCCATCCACCCATTTGTTCTATCAACGTGCAGTGGGCAAGGACTGCAGAGGTGACCTGCCTTCGAGGAGTTTCCAAGGGGAAGCAAACATCTGCAGGTAGAGCACTGGGGCTAATAGCCAGCATAAATTGAGCATCTGCTATGTGCCAGGCCCCGAGCTCCCGACAGGCCCCCGGTGCATGGTCTATTAATAGCCATGACTTGAAGAAACCAGGCTCAGAGAGGCTAAATCTCATCCTGAAGGTCACACAGAATGGATTCCAATCTCTCTCTGGAGCCTCGTTACATGAAAAGTTCAGTGTTCATCCATTTCCACGTGGACGGAGCGGGATGATCAAGACTGGACAGGAGATAAGACTCAAACCTCTCACTAGAACAGAATTCACACTGTCAGTTAAGCCCCTGCAGACTTTGAGAGGTGTCTTCTTCTCCCAGGAAGGCCATGGGGCAGTCATGATTGTATCCCTCTTTACAGATGGGGAAACTGAGGCTTGGAGAATCTGAATGACTCGCTCCAGGTAATGGAACCTGCAGGTGGCAGTGCTAGGATATGAGCTCACAGCTTGAATTCCAGGCTTGTCGCTCTCGCCAGAATATAGTGCTGTCTCTCCCTCTCTGGAACCTTTCCCAAGTCTCAGAGTGCAGCCCGGGTCCCAGCGATGGCAAGGTCCCACATGCACCTGGGGATTCCAGTTTGTAGCCCCGTGCCTTTCTCAGGACCCTCTGTGCCCCTCCTGCCTGCCTGTCCTCTCTCCTAAACCTGCAAAGATCCCACAGGACCCGCAGATCTCCTTCATCAATAACAGGCTTCACCTCCATGAACCAGACGCTGCGTCTGTCCAGCAGAATCCTCTGGCTCTCTTGTTAAAAAAAAAGAGAATGCAGATTTTAACCCAGCAGGTCTGCGGCAGGGCCCTAGATTCTGCACTTCTAACCCAGTGAGGCTGGTGCTGCTCAGAGGTTGGAGGACTAACTCTGGGTAGCAGGGGTGTGGAATGGGGCCAGGGCTGCCCTGCCTGGGCGGGGTAGGCTGACCCAGTCTCTCACCCGAGTCTCAAGGGGTCAACTTTCATCCCGGTGGCACAAAGGGTGCCCCCTTGCTCTCATGGGAGCACAGGTAACTGGCAGGTGGCCTCTCGCAGAGCACCATGGGGCTGCCCTCAGGCCTCTCCACGCCCTCTCCATCCCAGAGGGGGCCTGGGAACAGCAGTTGCCTTGGGAGGGTGAGCAGCCTGTGCTGGCTGAGCCCTGTCCCCCTCCCAGCCCTGGGAACTGCGGGAGGGGCTTGCCTCTGCTCCCCCGCAGCCCTCATTGAAATTTTGTCCTTGCCCAAGAATCCTCGGTTGAGAGCTCATCCCTATTAATTCTCCTTGTGCATCTAGAGCCAATAGGCTTTTATTTATTCATTTATCTTGTCTTTCATCTCCCTCCCCTTCCTCGCCAGGCTGGAATTTACAATTTGGTTCTCAGGTGGCCTTGTCAGAGGACAGGCAGGAGGCCTGGGAGAGAGGGTCTGCACGCAGGATCTGAAGACAGCGCTGCCCCTCGGCCCCTCTTAAGTCCTGGGCTCACGCCTAGGACGGCTGCAAGCTGGGACAGGCAGGCCCACATCTGCCAAAGGAGGGGCGCAGGGGAGCAGGGACCCACTGAACCTTTGCAAGGCTGAGGGGCATCGGGTGGGCTGGCTGCTGCTCTTGCGCCCCCTGGTGGCTGGTCAGCCACCTGCTCTGACTGGAGGCGTTTAGAGACTCCCTGGGCAAGAATCCTCTCTGCCTGCTGCCTGGAGACTAGGAATGTAGGTGTCCCCAGGCTGGAGAGAGGCAGAGAACTCCAGGGAGGGAAGGAAGGAACGAGGGACAGAGGGAGGGGGGAGGAAAGGTGGGCCAGAGCCACAGGAGTAACAATAGTAATAACCTAGTAGCAGTCACTAACCGTGGGGCACCTACTTGATGCCAGCAAGTGCCCAGCGCATGCATGGCCAGGCTGTGTCCTCCCACCAGCACTGTGACCATCCTCAGTACTGTCTCCATCGAAAGAGGAAGAAACAAGGCTCAGGGAGGTCAGAAGCTCAGAGAGGGCGGACTGTGCCACCTGCAGGTGTGCACATGACCAGCTACAGACAAGTTCCTGGCCTGCCCTCTACACAGTGACCTTGACAGGACTTAGGCAACCCTTCCTAATCCCTAAGGAGGGATCAGAGCAGGCCTCACCCTGGGGCATCCTAGAAATGATTAAATGGGAAATGCCGTGGACCTGTCCAGGAGGGGCCATGGTACACAGTGGTGCTACGTTTGAATCCAGACTGGAGGTGACTTCACCTCCCTGCAGAAGCCAGCCTCCACCTGCCAGCAGCCTCCCAGACTCATATTGTGTCCACATTTGTAATCAAAGGCAGAGCTGTCATGAAATATTCACATCCACCAAACAGGTGGCGCGACGCTGAGGACTTGGCCACTCGGAGTCTCTGGATGCTGACCTTCCTCCCTGCCCTCTTCACCTGCCTTCCAGGAAAGGAGTGGAGGGGAAGGAGTGCTCCTTCAAGACCCCAGGGCTCAGGTTCGGCCAGCATCAGGACCTGTAGGGGCGCCGCTGCCCCTGGGAAGCTGCGCAGGGTGCTGTCTGTGGGGGGAGGCAGGGCAGTCCAGGGCCAGGGGTCCCTCAGAGCTGGCTTTGACCAGGAGAGGGCCTCGGACTAGCATTTGATGGTCATCTTCATCCCTTGATCCCTGGACTGGAGGTCCCTCCTGTGAATTACCATTTAACTGTCCCACTCCCCTGCCATAATAAGACAATAATAAATACTTAAGAGGAAAAAAATAAAGCTGAGGCTCTACACAAGGAGCAGAGGTTGACTCTGCCAGGGAGCAGGTGGACCAAGATGTGGACTCAGAACCAGGCTCCCCGCTTGCCCTTAACCCTGACTTTCAGGGCCCAGCCCCCTGGCCTGTCCCTGAGCCAATGTGGCCCTGCGGTCCCCATAGCAGTGATGCCCACGGACTATGCGATCCAGCCCTGGCTCCCAGCCCTGTGCTGCTTCCCCCTCCCTCCCCAGCTGGCCCTGGCCCAGCCACCACCCACGGTGACAGCCTTATCTCCACTGACAAGCCCACGTGGGAACCGACCTTCCCAGGCTGCTCTGTGCTGGGACTGAAGATGTCCCACGGGACTGAGAACTTCAGGAAGCCCAGGTGGGGACACCGGGTGGCCCTGCCATAACCCCAGGCTTGGTGGCTCCCCCAAGGACATTCAGAGACACCAGCCACCTGGAAGATGACTCTGAGCCCCTCTTGTGGCTGCAGCCTGGTGCCCTACCCAGCCTCCTGCTGGAGGGGCCCGGAGAGCTCCTGCTGGGGGGTGGGGGGAGGCCGTTTAGCTCAGCCACTTGGGAGCCAGACACTCAGCGGGAATCACAGCTCCACCACCTCCTGGCGTGAGACCCTGGCCGCGGGCCTTCGGGCCTTCGCCTCTGCTGCCCCAGTCTTCCCAGCTGACTGCTGGAGTGCCAACAGCTAACACCTACAGGAGACTTGCTCTGTGCCCAACCCTATTGTGAAGAGATGTTCCTCAAGCCACCAACTCCTTCCAACTACCCTATGAGTGTGCTCCGTTGGCGTGCCCATTTTACAGATGGTAGAACAGAGTCCAGAGATGTCGCTGGTCTGGAGGCCACCCCCTAAACCTGCTACTTTATATGACAGAGAATCAGGCTGGCAGAGCCTGGGGGTCTGGGGGGACTCCACAGAGTGACGCGTTAGCTCTCAGCCCCATTTCTGCTATTACTGTGCTGTTAACATTCCCCGAGTGCCGGCACATTCTGTATCCTCTGACTGGAGACTCAAGGGACAAGGCCAGAATGCCTTCCTTCCCCTGACCTATCTGTGACTGTGGTCATCACACACAGGGATGGAACTAGAAAGGTCACTGCTGCCCTGTCCCTCCCAGTCTGACCCTGCCCTCCTCTTTGAATCCCTTCTTGCAACCCTTTTCTGCAAAGCGCCAGCTCTGTGCTGGCACACGCTGGCCTCATAGCTGTCTAATGGATTGGGCTGGGTGGACGAGGAGACTGCGCAGTGGAAGGGAAGGACCCAGGCAGGTCCAGTCCTTGGCTCACTCACTCGCCCAGGGGCAGACTTCCTACAGGGAGGCGGGGCTTACCTTTGAGGCTGCAGAACTGGGAATACTACTCTCTTCCTGAGAGAAAACCATCCTGTGGTCAGCTGGCCAAAACTGCCCTGACCCCAGAGAGTGTCACATGACCCAAGGGCTGCTATGCTTTGGCCCATTTCCAAGGTGAGACAAAGACCTGGTCCCAATCCAAGACACAGGAGTCAGCCTTGTGACTTGGCCCTCCTGCTGGGTTCACCACCCCAAGGGTCTGCCCCAGGTCCCCTCCCCTGCAGACTGAGCCAGAGATCGGAGATCGGCTGGGGGTGCACTTACATGGGAGCAGAACCTCTCAGGGGGGTCTCCACACGTGATGCCCGAGGGCTCCACCTTCACCCTGACGTAGTCCTTCAGACGCATTGCCTTGGGCTGGCAGGCGTAGAACTCCCAGGTGGGGCCCTCATCCGTGGTCACCCAGGATTTGCAGATGTCGTAGTCCCCAGAGGCCAGAGGGAGGCAGTGCAGGAAGAGAGCCAGCAGGTGCAGCATGGCTGCTCAGTCCGCAGGGGCACGGCCCAGAGAGGCCCTGGAGAGGCAGCGGTGGGGTCAGCTGGGACTCGCAGCCTCAGCATGGAAATGCCACATCTACCAGGCGATGGCAGCTGGGATGTCCCAGAGCCTCAAGCACTGCAGGTTTGCAAACAGTGAGGAGCTTGTTTTTTCCGAAAGACCGATACAGAAAATTCAGAGCCAGCGTTTCTCAAACTGCTGATGGGCAGATCAAAAAGTTGCCCGTAACTTTGCGTCCTTGTAACCTTGGCATTCCACCTCCCCCGGAGGTGGATCTGATCAAATCAAGCCGACTCTCAAATTGTGACAGTGGATGGAAATGGGATAAGGAGACAATCCGCAGGGATCCGGCATGGGGCTGGATCAGATTGCTTTTAATTTTTGTCCTTCCAATCAATCCAGGTCTTTAAAAGGCCCTTAACGTGGGATGTGCTCAACACAACTGCGTAACAAACCTCCAGCCTGCATTGTAAAGATAAAATAAAATCAGGAGGTATACATGTTAGCTGCAAACGTGTTCCCTCTTTGGGACTGGACTTGGCATCTCAGTCCAATAAAAGAGATTTCTTTTCATATGGACAAAAGTATCAACAACTGGGCAGCTGGACTGGAAATAAAAAGCGACTGAGGTGTTAACCAGGCAGGCTGTTTGGCTCTGCTTTGGTGGGGACAGGCACTAATGGGGGCCAGCTGACCTTGGCTGGTAGCCACCAGCAACTTATCAGCAACTTATTAGGAAGTTCCTGAGACTCCAGCTCTCCATCCACCCAGAATCCCAGGGTCTGGCTTGTCTTTCATTGTAAGAAGGGAGGAGAGAGGAGAGAGCGGGAGCACTCATTAGCAACAACACCTGCAACAAATTAAAAGAGGGGAGATTAGGGATGTATAAGAACAAAAGCTCTCTGGCAGAATGTGCAAAAAATGAGGCTGCATTAGCAAGATCTCCCGAGAAAACTGGGTTATTTTTATTAATATTGGAGTTGCACATTTGGAGATCGGGCACATTATTAAAAAGGTGAGGTGTTTTCTCACCATTCATGGGTGCAGCAGAAGTGTCTGCCCAAGGGCCCCAGGCCCAGGAGCCAACAGTTAATGGTCGCTTTAAAATACCACGCCCTGCAAGTCAAAGTGTCAAGAGTTGTTAAAGGAGGCGGGGAGACTGTAACTATAGGTGCAGATGAGGCCACACCTACAGGTACAAACAGAGTGGGTCACGCGTGGCCAACAAAGAAACAGTAGACATTGACAACTACCTCTTCAATCGCAGGTACAATCTGAAATGGCGACTTTAATTTTTTTTAACAGTAAGAAACTAAGATATTGAATACTTCCACAGAAATGATAATGTTTTGTCATATCAGATTTTCTGATCAAGGCCAACATTTTGCAATCATCTTTGAAGGGTATGTCTATAAATGGATCACTATTAGGATTACTGCTTTACTATTTTAAGTCTCTGGTAATTATTTAAAAACCAAAATAGATATAACTAATACAAATGTTACTGGGAAACACATGGCTCGGATGATGTGGTGATCCCAGGCATTTAATACATCACCAGGACAATCCGAGTCCAGTCAGCAGCATGGAAGCCTAGCCCAAAGAACTGGTCAACAGGGCAAAGGTTACTGCAATGAGTTACAGCATAAAATGTCTGTGTTATTAATTATTTTGGTTGTTACGCCCATGATTATGCATTTCAATTCCCAAATAATGCAAATGGCAGCCTGACTCTTCATCTGACATCCTTTTGAGCCACTGTTCACGGGAGGTCTCTGGGGAGTTAACTATATTTTCATGAAGCCCCACTTATACCCAGATACAAACAATGGCTTGCCAAAAATGAGAAACTGAAGGCCAGACACTGCCCGCCTCGGTGCTGAATATATCTGCTCTGGGAGAAGCCCCTAGCTAGGCGACCTGATCTCCATGCCCAGAGCGGGACTCATCCATCTGCGTTAAGTGGGCCTCTGCCCCTCTCTCAGGATGAAGGTCTCCTAATGCAGATGAATGAGGACCCAACCAGGACCACATTTTCCCGTTTCACCCCTGGCTGTTGAGAGAAACCTGTTATAGAGTCAGCCCGGCCTTGAATGCGCTCCTTGCTAGAAAACTCCCAGAAAGAACGTGCCCAGGTCTATTTTTACAACCTGAGAAAATGTAGTAAAAATAAAATAGCTCGGCCGGCAGAGGTTTGGACGCCTCTACCAGAGCTCGGAGCTGCCCAGAAAACAGCATGCCTCTAATTAATTCTTCTAGAAGCTGACTCCCGACTGTTCCCTAACAGGTAGGGAGCTCCTGATGGCTAGGGACGACCAGGGCGCAGGGCTGCGGCTCTTAAGGAGGGCCCAGCTGCGGGCTTCAGCCGCAGGACCAGCCTGGCCGGGCTGGGATGGCGCGGGGCGCGAGGCAGGCTGAGCAGGCAGCGAAGCTCAGCCTGGAGGCCGCGTGCGGGGCAACTTGCAAATTTATTAATTGCTTTGCAGTTTTGTTGACTTAAATGCCACGCATTCCCTGGAAAACGGGGGGGGGGGGCAACAACAACAAAATCTGCCAGGGGAAAATGTGTTTACAACCAGTCAATCAACTGGGCGTTGATTGCGTTGCTGGCATCGCAGGGGGAATTGTGAGCTCAGCGCTCGAATATTACAGTCGGCTTTTGCCAAAAAAGCAAAAAGGGGAGGGGGGGGAGAGCCGCAAGAACCCCGGGAATAACGAGGCGATGGCAGGGAGAAGCCGGCAAGGGAAATTTCAGAGTAAGAGGTTGTATCCTGGTGGATCGTTTTCTCCTTGGAAAATAAATCTTCACCTGATATTATTAAGAAACTGCAGCTCTCAGAAACAGATAGAATCAATGCGCTTTATTTTCTTTTAAGAGTCCTCGGGAATCAAGGAGGGGCTGATAGCCAGGGTATTAAAACCCGAAAATTAGATTTTATCAGGATTTCTGAACTCAGATTTCTGTCTTATTGAATTAGCGCCTCTCGGAGCTGGCTGGGCTCGTGAGCTGGCTTCTCTCGGAGTTGCCGGCTGCGCCCTCGCCTTGTGGGAAACTTGCCTCCGCGGGCGCGGGCCCCTGGGGGGACTGGGGAGCGCGTCGGGGGTTCTGGGGGCCCCAGCCCCTCCGACAGGTTTCCTCTTCCTTCCCTGCCGGTCGGTGGAGGGGGTGAAATTTGCTTTGGGGGATATTGGGAGGGGGGACGAGGAGGGATAGCGACCCGAGTCACCTTCCCGTTCCCGCCTCGGAGCTGCCCTGTAGGTGTCCAGCGCTCACCATCGGCTCAATGGGCGGGTTTCGGCAGCCCAGGTGTCCCGGCTCCGCAACTGGAGCTTTCTCTGGCCCCGGTTTGCCCCCGAGCCCTTCTCAGCGGCCAGGGAGCCCTGGAAAGTTGGGGGCGGGGCATGAGCAGGAGGCCGCGGCGGCTGGGGTCGCGCGGGTGGGTCCCCGCGGGCCGGAGGGCGGGGCCACCTAGGACCGCAAACGGCCAGGAGTGGAGGTCCAGTCTGTGCTTCCGGCCGGCTGCAAACCGTGTGCATTGCACATGGACCAGCCCGGCAAACCCGCCGCGGCTTCTTGCTTTTCCGAAGTTGTGTGCAAACCACGAGAGCAATTGATAATCCAGCCTTTAATAAAGGCCCGGTCAGCACTGAGGGTACCCCTCATTTAGCATCGTCTCACTTAATTAAAAGACACCGAGCAAAACGCCCGAGAATTAGTTGCATTCTTTTTCCAGGCGCTGCTGCCAGCAGCGACCCTGTCGCCGCCGCCGCCACCACCGCCACCCACCCCGCCCAGAACTGCGACTTACTCCGGAGCGGGCGGACTCGGAGCTCGCGGTCCTCTTCCCGCCTTCTCGCTGCCTCTGCTTCCCCCGGTTCGAGTTCGACTCCGCACAGCGCTCAAGCCGGTCCTTACCTCCGTCCGCCCCCCAGCCCCGACCCTCTACCGCACGGAAAGAAGTTTCCGTCCTTGGCTGGTCAAGAGTTCTCCGTGCAACTCACACGTCCTCCAGTTTGCAGAGATGGGAGGGCACGGGATGGGGTAGCTCTGGACGGTGGTGATTAAATTGGGGTGGGGGAGCGGCGCTGGAGAAGAGTTAATTTCCATTTCATAAACAAATCCAAGCATTTTTGCAACGTCCATCCCCGCTCCACACACGCACGCATGGCGGGGAAAGAAGGGGTGGGGGAGCCAGCCAGAAAGACAAGCTACTCCTTTAAGATGCTGCTACAAACGCACACTCACACACCCCTCTCGGGGCCACTCCAGTCCTCCTCTAGTAGCAGCCGCTACCAAATAACTTTTGCATCCCAGCCTTCGCTCGGCTGCTTTAAGTGGCTCCAGGGCCCCGGGAGAGCCGGCACGGTCACCAAAGCCCTTTAAAAATGAAACCAGCCTGGCGAGCCGCAGCGCCTCTGCCCCCGCTCGCCTCCCGGGCTCTCCCTGCCCGCCTTACCCCGGCTCGGAGCGGCTTCCCGGAGCGGAGACCCGGGAGGCCGAGGACCGCCACCCTCTGGCGCTGCGCCTCCCCTCTGGATGGCGCTGGGTGGGGGCGAGGGCCGGAGGGCTGCGCGCCGGTGCTCCTTCCCCGCGCCGCTCCGCCGCCGCCGTGGCCGCCGCGCCGCCGCCGTCAGATCGGGGCTGGGGAGCCCTCCGGCCGCCGGGGGGGCCGCCCGCAGCCGTCCCGGAGACGCGGGCCGGGGGAGGGGGCCGCCCGCGCCGCCCGCATCGCCCGCCCGGGCGGAGCGGGAGGTCGCCGCTAACAAGTGCAAACTTTTTGGGTCCCCTGGGCGGCTCCGGGAGGACCCGCGCTCGCGCGCCGGGCAGCCCCCGGCCCGGGTGGGCTTCGCGGCTGCTCCTGGGGGCGCCGGGGCATCCCCCCGGCGCGGCGCGGGCCAGATGGCGGGGCGCTTCACTGCCCCCCTGCACTCGGCTCTAAGTTAATGCCGAGGCTAAATCCTCTTGCCATCACTCACGATCACCATCGGGGCTTTTATCTCTCGGTCTGATCCGGGCTGCGTAACTTCCTCTGTGTGGCTTTAACACACCATCCCACCACGGAGCAACGGTCTTCTTAAAGGTGCAGGAAGAAAATACTGCGAGACTCGGGGGACGCGCCACGGCCCAGGGAGGGGCGCGGCGAGCAGGGGCGTCCCGGCGGGCCCGCGGCCAGGGTGGCCCCAGCAGGCGGCCGCGGGAGCGAGCCTGTGCTGGGGGGTCGCTGCCTACACATCGCCTCCCGGCCCGGGGGCCAGCGGGTCCCTGCGCGCAGAGCGCATCCTCAGCCGGCTCGGGTCAGGCGCGGCGGGCTGCAGTTTCCTTTCCCAAACCCAGGGGCCTGACCGGGGGCCGGCGACCCTGGGTGTGGGAGCTGCCCCATCGGCACCAAGAAGGGGGCCAAGTGAGTCAGTTCCCCCCACCCCCAACAGCCAAGGGCTCAAGGCTGCTCCTCTGTCTCTCTCTCTCTCTGTGAAGTGCTGCCACCCAGAAGGCCCCAAGCAGTGGGTAAAGGGGTGGGTGGGTGGATTTGGGGAGATGGGGAGGGGGAGCGAACTGAGCGCACAACCAGAGCCTGAATACCAGCTGACACATCGCCGCCTCCACCCTGATGGGCCCTGCTTTTGACGAAGCCAAGCCGGCTCCACAGGGAGTGCAGAGTAGGGGGGCAGGAGGGGCCTCGCCTGAGGGGATCTCTGCCTCTCTCAGGCCAAGCCTGGGAGGAGGGCGTGGGAGGACTCTTGCAGGGCCCTGCAGAGGCCACTGAGTTGGCAACCCTGGGCAGCCTGCATTCTCCAGCTCCTGGAGGTTCCCTGCCAGGCTGCTCCCTGGGGCTATTGGGGGGCTTCCTCCTCCTCCAGTGGCCCCTGTGGGTTTGGGGTTCTCCTGGCCTCCTGGGGTGGGTTCTTACTGCAGTGCCCAAGCAGCCAACACTGTCATTTGGATGCATCAAGAACAAAGGGCCTGAGAGGAGAGAGAGAGAGAGAGAGAGAGAGAGAGAGAGAATGGTCCAAGGTCACAGAGAATGTCAGAAATGGGAGCAAGATATGGCATAAGATAGCATTTCAGTGCCCCACCCCACTGTCACCCTTACCTCCACCTTAACCCTTCCTGCTCTTGGTTCCCCCTAAACCTGGAGAGAGGGTCATACTGCTGAATAACATTTAGACTCTTGTGACAAAGCAGACAAAGTATGCAGAATTAAAAACTGTCATCTGTTATAATAATAATAATAACAACAACAAGAGCACTCACTTAACACCTGTTTTGTGCCAGGCTCCCTGCAAATGAATTTATGTGCATTATTCATTGATTTCTCCCCAAAGCTTTGTGACTTAGCTCTATTAGGAAAGTCCCAACTTGGAGACAAGCTTAGAGACCTAAGTCACTTGTCCAAGGTCACATAGCTAAGGAAGATTCTGAGCCAGGAGGCAGGGTTTTTGGGTTCCCAGGAGGTGCTGGCTACTGCCTGACTTACTGTTTAACTTGGGGTGTGGCACTGATTGCTTCAGGGCCTCAGTGTCCCCATCTGTGAACTGTGAATGGCAAGCTCTTCCTTTTCCAAGGAGGGGTCAAAACAGGGCTATCCAGTATCTCTGCCACACGTACCCTCAGGTCTCTGCCAAGGGAGGTGGGTCCACCCCACAAAGTCATCCAGGAAATCAGATGCAGCCAGCCCTGGCCATGTCCTTCCTGGTCTCAGAGCGTCCAGCAGGAGGAAGCTCCTCCTAGGACAAGAACAGATTTCAGCGATTTGATTTTGAAATATTCAGCCTGTAGGCAGCAGAGAAGGGCACTGTGTGGGGCTCCCGCACAGGCTGAGTGATGACCCGGTAGGCCCTCTGCCTGCTGTTGCCCCAGGCAGGGTCATCAATCCCCAGGAAACGCCCTGCTCCTCCATCACCCAGGGCCTGGATGCTGTCAGGAACAGCCAACGAGACAGGAAGGAGGATGCTTCCTATCTACAGTTCATCCAAGCACAGCCAAGGGACCCGGGTGCGTCCTCCCTGCAGTTGCCAGGATGGTTTGGGTGACCCATTTGCAAAGATATTTGCCACTTGAAAAAATTTCCACCTCCTCTCCAGCAGTCCTCCTTCCCAGGGCTCTTCACCTCTGCAGCCAGCTGATGCCAACAGGCTTTTCCAGGGACCTGTTCCAGAACCTGTCTCTGGGTCTCCCCATTTTCAGACCCTGGAACTCATGGGATAGTGGAAGAGCACTGGACTGGGAGTCAAGATGATGGGCTTGTCTTGGCTTGGTCCCTAACTGGTTGTGTGCCCTGCATAGATCCCTTCCCTGCTCCCGACCTCAGTTTCCCCATCCACATTAGGAGGAATATGCCCCGGGCAGGGGTTCCTATACTGACAACCTGACTTGACCAAGCTCTGTGCGGCCTGCAGGAGGTGGTTTTCCTTTCAAGGGAACAATAAGATGCTTTGTTTCCATGCTGGGGAACAAATAGGATTCCAGCCTTGTAGGGACCAGGTGGCTGGGGGACGTTCATTTCTAAACTGCATTAAGGTGTCTTTGGACAAATGACCTTTCCTCAAGAGTAAAAAGACGCTGAGCACCAGGGGCAGGAAAGTGTTAATGAATCTCCCTCCAAAAAACTCACCGCTGGCCCCCCTCTCACCAACAGCCTGATGGTTTACTTCATTGGTGGGATTTTGGCTGCACTGTGCAGTTCTCATTTGAATTGTGCATGTGGCAGCTACTATCAAAAAGCGTCTGCACAACAAGTATTTAATTTTATTCCACCTATTTTTTAAAAAGGGGCCTGTATATAATTACATATATAATATACGCCCATGTGTAACATATACATAATATGTATACTTGTGGAAAGAGAGGCTTACAAAGATACACACCCAAATGCGCACAGGGGAGCTGGGAGGACTGCAGGCGTTCTCACGTGTGTGCTGTCTGCGTTGCTCCCCTCTTTGGGAATAAGGAATGTGCCTGGGCTGGCGGAGTCATGGGAAAGAATAAAGCCACATGCAAAAATAATCCACCAGCTTTGCAATGGGAAAGAACAGATGAGGTCCAGCCCTCAGGGGATTTCAGAGAAAAGACAAATCCTAATGCAGACGGACAATGGGACAGACAGCAAATGAGCTTATAGGGCTGATTAAAGTCAAGTGTGAGCTCAAAGGCCACCCCACCACATCCTCGCCCCAGCCTCATTCACACCCTTCACCATCTTACGCCAGATCAAGATTTGGATTCTTCAAGAAACTTTGTCCTCTTGACCTTGAGCAGTTGAGATGCAGCTGTAGGTAGATGGAAGAGCCCAGGACCGAGCCCAGGCCCATCTTGGGGTTTTGAGACATCAAGCCCCTCACTTCTACAGCCAAGGCAGGGGCGGGCAGAGAGACACCAAGATCCAAACCCAGGCCCTTCCCGGGTGACGCCTCCAGGCAGTGGCGAGGAATATTCTGGCTCCTCCCTGCCAGTTCTCAGCTCTAATCTCTAGACCGTACTCCCATTAATTATTATTACTGTATTAATCATACATGTGATTAATTCAGTAATGGTGATTCATAATTGATTGCATTTTATATGGTGCCTTTCATCCACACATCTCCCAAGATGTGTGCTGCCTGCAACGGGAGACACAAAGCGGGACGTGCTCTTGCTGGCTGCATTTTGTTGGATAAACTTCCCTTTGCAGAGGCAGGGGGCTCATGGTCTTCTGGCACCCGGGGCTTGCCAGCCCGGCTCTGCACCTGTCTCCCTGAGCTGCACCCTGCCTTGCTTGGAGGTAGCCATGCCCTGGGAGTCTGCAGAGCCCTTGGGAGGCAAGTCTGCGTGGGCCTGGGATGCTGGGTGAGGCCAGCCTCTCTGTGGGGGAGGCAGGGCCACAAGCACTGGGTGAGGACTCTAGAGCTTGACTCCCTGGGTTATGCCTCCACCGCTGATTAGCTGTGTGACCTTGAGTTAGCTGTTTTTCTCTCTGCCTCAGTTTGCCCAAATGAAAAATGAGATTGCTAATTGTCTCTTCCTGACGTTATTGTAAGAATGAACTGAAAAGATGCACACAAGCACTTAGCCTGTGGAACATAGTAAGTGCTCAGTCTCTTCTCTTCTCTGGGTCTCAGTTTTCTCAGTTATACAATGGGATGATGAGCCAACCTCAAGTACTCCTTCCAGATCTGAATGAGCCCTGATGACAGTGACAGTGGGCGCTGCAGGTCCCAGAGTTGTGCATCCTTGGTCTCACATTCCTGCTCACCTTGGCCTATCACGGTGCCCTTGAGCCAAGGATCCAGCTTGCCGAGCCTCAGTTGTTCCACTTGGAAAGTGGAGATTGTAATGGCATCCAAAGACCTAGGGTGGCGTGAGAATTTCATGAGCAAATGCTTGAGACCTATCGGGCATCCCGGAGGTGATCGCGCAGCGTCGTCCACCTGGGCGTGGTGCACAGCGGCTTGCTGAGGGGCTCCCCTTCCCATGTCGCTACCTCTTGGTGGAAAATGCGCTTATTCTCCCCATCGCTCAGATGAGAACGCTGGGGTGGATTCTGCCCGGGGTCGTTCCGTCAGAGCAGGGCCCCTAGTTTGACCCCGGACTCACTGTCTGGTCTGTCCCACCCTGGGAGGGAGCTGGCATTGCAGGCTCCACTTGAGAGCAGAAGACACCAGGGCCAGAGTGTGTGGCGCCGTCCGAGGGCACATGGCAGGTGAGGCTCGAGAAGGTCCCATGGGCTCTGGTGAAGGGTGGCAATGCCACTGGCCACCCTGCCTTTGCCTGCTGGGTCTTTTCCCTCAACAGCCTGGTCAGGATGCCCCCATCTGTGGGGGCCTTGGGAGGCCTCCTTCCCGAGTCCCAGGCAGCATGAAACCAGGGGAGCTCAGAAGAACCCAGAGGCAAGCTGCCTGTGTACCTCACAAAAGTTTACTAAGCACCTACTGTGTGCCAGAGAGGTCAAGCCAGAGAGGCAGTGCAGTCTGAGAAAAGTGGTAGTGTGTATGTGTGTGCGCGCAAACACGTGCATCTTCAGGCTGAGTGCAGGTGTGGCCCCCAAACACTAGACACCCCAAAGTTAACTGCAGAAGCAAGTCCTCCCTCAGGCTGGGGACGAGGAAAGCTCACCTGTGAACACCACCAACACCACCCCAGCTGCCTAGAGGAGCAGACTTGGGCTCTTACCCTGCTGAGACGAGGTTT